TTCCTTAAGTCACAGTGGGCTGATACTGGGATACAGGGACAACCAGATGAGGGCCCCTCCCCAGCAACTAGCTGTCAGGGTTCCACCACTCACTCTCGATGCCACTCATAGATTTGCTGGATGTTCCCAAACACAATCCTGTCACGGCCTCGAAGACTTTCGGGGACCCCCTGAGCAGCCATGGTGGCCATGTAACCCTGTGGGAAAGTTGAGATTGGGTCAGGAGCATGTGGTGGCCCCCTCCCCACCTTAATGGTGCTCCTGTACACATATCCAGGGTGTGTTTCACCTCCCCCTCCCTGGTAGGAGCCGCCCTGCCCCCAGAGTAGGAAGGTCCAGGAGTGGGGAGACTTGAGAGGTGAGACAGAGGAGCACCCAGGCACCTCCTGAAAGTAGCCCTGGGCAGATGGAAAGGCAGGCAGAAGGGGCTGGGAAGGGGTAAAGGGAGCTACCTCCACAATCTGCCCCAAGTCATCCACGTACATTTTCTCTGTTTCTACCAGTTCACTCAGGACGTACCTAGGATGAAAGCAGGAGGAGGCCCCCACTTCAGTGTCGGAGCTCATCCTTGGTTCAACCCGTTCCTCCCTCCTCCCCTTCATCATCATAGCCAACCCTGGAGGAAATGCCATCTAAAATGTGAGGGACAGTCTTCTGGAAGTTGTGCAACTGCAGGGAAGGGCTGTGGATACTTACATACTCCTTTCCAGAGCCGCCGCCTTCTGTTCCGCCTCACTCTCAGGGGCTTGGGACAAAGCCTCCTCTTCAGGTGGCTGGAAGGAAAGAACATCCTAGGGTCAGCAAATGAATGCCCCTTGAGTGAAAGGAGCCTCCCCAGAGCCTGTCCTCACACCTGCGTCTTATCTCCAGGGCCGTCCAACAATGTGGTCAGCAAGGTCAGTTCCGGCAGCTCCTCTCCTGTGGCTAGAGCTGGCTCCAACATCCAGTTCTGGGGGCCAGAAATCAAGTGTCAGAGGTCAGGGACAGTAGCTGGGTGGCCCCAACCTGCCCTCTCTTCCAGTGTCCTTCATGGATGTCCCACATGCTTTGGTGCTGTTCCCTGCTCACCTCATATGGTCCCGCCTGACGACTGTCTGCCTCAGTTTCCACACTGAGACAATGTTTGGAATGATCCAACCATCTCCTCAGGCCACTGACGGGCCCTGGGGGGCCTGGGGAACAGGGGCCAGAGCTGAGGCCAGAGCTGGGGCCAGAGGGGGCAGCCAGACCGGAGGCAGCAGAAGCTGATACACTCCCCTCACTGCCAGCAATGGAATAGGATTCTAATGGGAGGAAAAAGAGAGGAGGTGATAGACCTTGCCCCAGCTCCAGACTCAGGGTCCCCAGGGAACTCCCAGGGTCTTCTCTCCATGATGCTCAGCCTCTCTCTCCAAGGGCTCACTCTCTTGCCATCCTCATTTGAGTTGCCCCCAGGATAGAAAATTTCACCGGGGCACCCCTGGGAGAAAGCACAGTAAGGTAAACACCTGGCTCTCCAGACCTGGAACCCCCAGTTACATGTGGAGGTTCCCCATATCCTGAGCATAGCATAGATATGGGGGTGGGGGCAGCCATCTGGGCAGACACTGGAAGCTGGGGGTGGCCATCTGCTCTCCTACAACCCTCCCCCTTTCAATGGGTACAGACCATTCTCTGGGAAGGGGGGAGGATGAGCTGGGTCCATCTGCCACTCCCAGTCCCCTCCTCCACCAATTGCAGTAATCACTATAAAAAGAAAATACTTCTGCAGCCCACCTCCCCAACACATGCGTAGACCCAATAGAGGAGGCCAGTGAGGAGGGTCCATCAGGGTTATCTATGGCCTGGGCTCAGGGACAGAAGAGCTGTGATTCCTTATAAAGCCCCCTGTAGAACCACCTCATTCTCATTCCTCCATTCCCCTGTCCCTCTTCAGAAGTAGATTCTTAGCAAAAGGTTTGAGGAAAGATAATCGGTTCTAGGCCTAAGGGGATTGTGGATGGGTTTTTCTCAAACCCATTTGACTAAGGGAAAGAGATGAGTTCCCTGCCCCTTCCCCAATTTCCATAACTTGAACTAACAAATTTGGAGGCAGAAGGGACCTTAGGGATCACTTAAGAAACCACTTTGCTGGAAAACGCATACAGTCTCCAACCCTAAATCCCAAGGGCCAGGGCAAACAGATGCCCTGAACCCCCAGCCCGCCCCCCACTCAACACTGGGCCCTTTCGACCTGGCACTCACCACGTCCCCCCCGGGCGAAGCAGCAGCCGCATTTTGCCAGCACTTTTCGGATCACACGGGGACAGGCACAGCGACCCCCTTTGTGCCCCCCCCGCATGGCGCCCGGGCCCCCCCGCGTCCCCCACCCGGGCCGGCCATGCAGGGGGAATCACGGGGGGCGGGGCGGGGACGGCGCTGGGCGCACACCCCCCCTCCCTCCTACCCCGGTCCAGGCTGTGGGAGTGGGGGAGGGTGGGGACCGGGTGGAGGTGTCCAGGGGTAGGCGGAAGTCTAGTCTTGAGGCGGGCTGGGGGGCTCTAGAGAGAGGGAGGCGCAGGGCCCGGCCACCGGGCTGGGCGGGGAGGGTTTCCGGAACCCTGTCGGCGCGGGGGCCCAGGGTCCAGATGTCCAGTGGAAGTGGGAGGGATGGTAGGGGAGGCTGGACCGGGATGCGGCAGCGGCTCCAGCTGTCTCCGGCCTCTGGTTGGGGGTGGCTCTAGGCCCGGGCCGGGGAGGAGGCGAGAGCCGACCCCCGAGCTACTGGCGCTGTGCGGGTCCCAGCGGAGCGGCGAGCTGAATAACAGGCCTGGCCGCGGGGCCGCCACGGGGCGGGGCCTCTGCGGCCCAGCTCCGCCCTCTCCATCGCCTTCCCCCTCCTGCCTGCGCCGGGTTCCCGCCCGGATCGCCCCTCCCCCAGGCACCACCACATTCCCACTCCACGTCCCCAGCGCTTTTTTCCCTCCCCAGCCTGGGCTCCCCTGCCCCGGGGTCCCCCTCCCTCCCGCATCGCGGGCTCTTTGGAGCGCTGGGGTCGGGGTTCAGCCTGTCGGCAGGGTCTGCCCAGGTCTTCCCTTGGCCTCTGACGTGAAGGAGCACTCGGTGGATGGGGCCTTGGCCTGTGCGAAGATGTTCTGGGTTTGGGGTTGTCCCCGGCCGCGTGGACAGAGGACCCCCAGTACGGGGTGCGTGTATGGGGAGCCTTTTGTGGGTGAACACAACCCAGATGCCGCCCTCTCTCAGAACCCTTCTTTCCTCCAGGTCCCGGGACTCCAGCTAAGACTAATCGCCAATTAAGGCGAAGTCCTGGAGCCCGGGCTGGCGAGGGGCCAGGGGTGGGGCGCGGGGACACTCTGCCTGCGGGGCCTCGGTACCGGCTGGGATGGGGGACACATATTGGACTCGAGGGCGAGAAGAGTGGAGGTCTCTGCGATTAAATGGGTCTCATGCAAATTAGATGCGAACTTTATGCTAATAAAAGCAGAATATTTTTGAATTCGCCACTTGGCGCAGGATAGCAAACTGCCCCACCCCACCCCCAGCTTCTTACCGGGCTGCAGAGCCCAGGCGAGGACCTCATCTTCGCGGTCCCTTCTGTGATCTCCCTCCGTACGTTCAGACTCTGGCTCGGTATCCCCCGACCCTAGGGGGCTTCTCCTCGGGGGCTGCGGGGACAGAACCACTGTAAGGAACGCCCCCTCCTAGGCAGCCCTGACCTCCCCTTTCCCCTTCTCCCACCTGTCAAAATCTACATTATTATAAAAGGGTCGCCCAGAACGGGGCTAAGGCCCTCGTAATGGAACTCATGTATTCCTGCGACTGCCCCGCAGAACTCGTTTTCGGATAAATTGAGTTGTGGGTGCAGCCCTCCTGTAGGCCCCGAAAGACCCCCGACCCCACCGCGGGCCCCCATTCTTACCCCCTCCTGCCCGGGGAGGGCGCATGCGCGCAGCATGCTCCCCATGACCCCCAGTATCCGGTCAGTGCGGCCAGGGGCGGGGCGGTCCGGGGGCTTCATACTGAACCCCCACCCAGCTCCACGTTTCAGGGTCGAGGGGGCACGGACGCTGGGGGGCTTTGAGGCCTGCTCGCGTCCAGGGAGTTGCTGCTGTGGAATCCGCCCCCTGCCCGGCTCCGCCCCCACTCCCACCCCAGCCAAACTTCGCAAAGGGGGTAGGGTTGTTCTTTTCTCTACAACGATGGTTGAACAACAAAAAAACACCCTCTTAATACTAATTCCAACATCGAAGTGTGGCCCAGGGTTCCGCAGTATTACTACAAAGCCCGCTGGTGCATCCCGTTCCCCAGGTCCTCAGGAGGCAGAATGACTGGGAGGGCACACAGGGATCTCCCTAATTCCCCCTCTCCCCTTTCCAGCAGGTCCCTCTCCCCACCCCACCCCCACCCAGTCCCTGGAAAAGAACGGGTGTGGCATGAAGAGTTGCATATTTTACTTTATTTTTATTAAATTAAAAGCTACAGTCTGGCAGCGATTCCAGAACAGGGTAAGGAGGTTCCTCATAGGGGTCAGAGAAGAGCGGAGAAAGACAGACTGACGGAGACTGAGACACAGGAAAGAAAGGACAAGGTTAAGGGAGAACTGTATCTGATGAACACACACAGCTGGCTCCATGGGGGGTGGTGGGGAGCTCATATCAGCCCAATTCCTCCTCTCCAGCACCCGAAGTTCAGCAGTGAAGCAGTATGTGGGGGCAGTTGGGAATCAAGAGACCCTCCCTTCCCCACCCTAGGTCCTTTCTCGGCTTGGTCATGGAGCACAGCACACCAGAAAAAGCCAAGGGCATTGGAGGGGCAGGGAAACCGGGAGTATATGTACACCGGGAGCAGAGAACAGAGCCTTGGAGGTCAGCCTCTGCCAGAAGGGAGTGGCTCACACTGCATTGAAACACTTGGCCGGTGGGGGATGGGGGAAGGGATTGCCCCTTCCCTCTCAGAATGCCCTTCCCAGTCAGACAGGTCCCCTACAGGTGTGTTGTGGGGGGCGGGGGGCAGAGAGGAGAAAGAGGCTTCTGCTGGGTCCTAGTAGAGGTGGACAGCAGGGGCCTTGGCAAAGGCGATGTCCTTCAGTCATCTGTGATACCCTTCGCTCTCAGCTCCTCTTGCACCCGGGTCAGGTAGGTAGGGTCTGGGTACCCAAACCTGGGAGCAAAGAGAAATGAGGGTGAGGGTTGTTAGCTGTTGGAACTTGCTATTATCCCCATGCTCACCCTCATTCTAGGTGACTCAGATACCTCCCCACCTCCCCTAAGGGAGGACACCTCCAAACCCAAGATAACTTAGCCCAATTCTGCTTATTTTTGTAGGCTAAGCTGGGCACACCAGGACCAGGTTGAACGTAGGAGAAACTGAGACGGCTGAACAGTTTGGAAGTGGTCCTCTCCAGTCAGGAGGCTCCCAGAGCAAGGGGTTGGTGGGTCCCTCAGTGGAAATGGAGGAAAGGGGAGGAGCCAAGGGAAAGGAAATGAAGAGGGGTCGCACAGCTGGGGTCCCCCTGTGCAGCTGGTCTTGTGGTGGATGTCATTCCAGGTGATGACATTCGGTCTCCCTGTGGTCATGGACGTGCCGATAGTGAAGGTGAGACGCTGGTCAAACGCCTTGCGGAACAGGGTCAGCACCTTGTTGCCCTCAGGGCAGTCCGGGAGGTAGGCCACCCGTGTGGTGCCAGGATACCGAACTCCTGGGTTTGGGTGTTCAGCCTAGGAGGAAGGTGAAGCAGAGTGGGCAGTGAGCAGCCAGGCATCCTAAGGCCCAGATGCCAGTGAAGCATCATCCAGGCCAGTCTCTGTCTGAGCATCCCCAGCTAATGCGGATAGGGCAGCAACAGGCGGACAGCTTTCCACAGAAGGAGAGATTATATGGCCTCGGCAGCAAGAGCCTGTTTCAGAGCATAATCTTTACGTGTTAAGAGGTTTTTTCTGCTGTCTCAATCCCTCAAGTCTCCATTCAGCAACAAATGGATTCTCAGAAGTGATGGAAGGTAGCTGGTCCCTATACTCCAGCCAACTCAGCAGAAATGTGAAGACAGAATAATCTATCTTTCAGCCTTCCCTTAACCTGAAAATATTCCTAATGTTTCTGCCACTGTCTAACCTGTTCCATTTTCCATCAGTCTTCTCTGCAGCTTCTTCAACCCTCTGCAGCCAGAATTGCACATTACTCTTTGTCCAGCAGGAAGACACCTATAGGCCTTGACCACTCCCGTTTTTACCAAGTGATGCTCCTGGCTCTGTTGGGTTGGTCAGATCCCTTCCTATTGTGCCTCCCTGCCCCTAAGCCACCGCCTCCACAGAATTTACCTCTGCCAAGCTGTCAGCACAGTATTTGTGTTCATCAAGGAAGTAATATGCAATTCCTTTCTCTCGTATCTGACTTGCTTTTTTTTTCCTAGCTCATATCTGATTTTCACATGTGCCTTGGGATCACAGGGATGGAAAAGCTGGGCCTCACAGGGACCTCCTAGGTCTAGGGCACTGAGTAAGAGGGCATAGTGGAAGACAGCAAGACTGTCTCACATCTAACAAGCACACTCACCCTCACCCGGTTTTCCTAGGTCAGAGCCTGGGGAGAGCCAAAGGGTAAGGGCGGGCCATGGTCTTCTTACCCCCTGGACACCGGGCGGGAAGACGTACTGGATGACAATGGTGCCATACTTCTCATAGCTGGGTAGTAGGAGGGTGGCATCCTTAGAGACCAGCATCCGCCCATTCTGGGGCTGGTTGCCCACCAGCTGCCCATAGAAGCGGCCGCACATGGGGCAGGCCTTTTTCACCTGCAGAGCCCGGGTGATGCAGCCCTCGCAGAATGAATGCCGGCACTTCTCCAATGTCTTGGCATTCTGGATCTCCCCCAGACAGATGGGGCAGGTGCTCTCCTGCTCTTCTGCCTCCTCCCGAAGGCGAGGAGGAAGAGGTGGGGGCAGGGGGGGAGGAGGAGGTGGGAGCCCCCGAGCCCCTGGGGGCAGAAGCGGGGCTGCTCGGAGAGGGGGTGGGCCTGCGCGGTGCATCTCAGGGTGCTCCCCTCCACCCCCCAGAGCCAGGCAGCCCATCAGCTCCCCCTGCCTCTGAGCTTTCTTCAGCTCTTTCTCTGCCTCTTTTAGCAGCCCCTTAAGAGCCTTCCGGGCTAGGTAGAGCCCATTGGGAGGGGCCGGGGGAGGGCCCTGTGGGGAAAGCTGGAGAACATAGATGTCAGAAGTCTCGCCATCTATGAGGATGGACACACGATGCTCCTCCCGAAGCCGGGCCAGCCGGGCTGGGGTCTCTTTGCTCAGGAAGTCCCACACAGGCTTGGAGACAGTCACTTTGTTCTTGCAGGTGCCTCCACAGGCTGCCATTCTGGACAGGACGAACGACACTGCCCCCAGGGTGAAAGGGACTCAGGGTGGGGGGTCCCCATTTGACAAGTATCAGTGCCTCCTACTTCAGGTTCCTTCCAAACCCTCTATTACCTCTGTTTTCTCAAAGCCTAATAATCCCCAACCCTTCCCCCAAATTCATATTCTCTCTCCCCTTATCTTCCAAACCCAGCGCCCACTGAAGAGCAAAAAAGTTTCCAGAGCTGTATTATCATCTAAGCCAAGTATCAGTCTTGTTTCTCCTGTCATTTCTCCCAGATCATAGAAACAATTTGCCCCTCCCACTTCTGGGGGGAAAATGGGCTCTTTAAAGGGGAGGGAGACTTTTTGCCCCTCCTTTTTGCTTACTTTGATCCTGAAGAGCTTAGAATTGGCATGCAGGCTCACTCTTTTTTCCCTGCTCCCTACTTGTAGGTCGTGTGAGCTGGTAGGGCAGAAAAAAAGGAAGGAAAGTGAGAAACCCCTTCTCCCAATTCCCATGGCCCCCAACCCAGCAGCCCATGGAACAGAGACAGAAACCTGGGTATAGATTACTGAGAATGGTAACATGGAATGAAGGAAACCAGCTTAAGGGTGAAAATTGAGGATCTCTTGTGGGGGAGATACCTGGGAAGCCCATGGAAGATGATGGCAGCAGAAATCCTTCTATTTCCACTCAGCTGACCAGGACTGGGAATAGGGGAAGGGTAAAAAGTTATGATGGCAAATGTTACCATTTCCCTCAGCCAACCCAGAAATAAAAACTCCACTTCCATCTCCTCTCTCCTCTGCAGAATTCCATCATCAGCTTCTCCCCAAGTTGCTCAAGAAGGAACATGCTAACCTTCCTCCTTTCTTCCCCAGCTCTGAGGCCCCCAAGAAAGCCTAGGGCACACATAAAAGATGTCAGGAAAGAAAACGCCCACACAGGTGGAGGTCTTCTTGCCACCTCCCTCAGATCACATGGACCGGAATATTTCCTATGCTCTCCAACTCCTCGCCCTGCTCCACGTTCCCAAATAATTCAGCCCCTATTGCCAGGGAGCCTTCCTTGAGAGCTAACTCAGTCCCTTCTGCTGAAGTCTGTTAAGGATGTGAACAAAGTGGCAGCAGTCCCTGCAATAACAAAGTTCTCATTGTCACCTTTTAAACCCAGCACAGGCAGGGCTGTCTGTCAGCTCCCAAGTCTGGCATTTAGGGAGGGGCGGGGCTCACACAAGGGCTCAGCTGGAGGGGCCTGATGTTTCCCCTGAGTCTGGTCGCATTGGGCTATGAGGCTGTACCCACAACACTTCCAAATGCAGCTCAAACAGAAAGAAGGGCCATTAGTGTGACCTCCATTCAATGACTGATCCAAAAAGGAGCAGCTGTCCCTTCATGCCTCCATCATCGTCCCCCAAGGCCAGATGCACCTCGAGATTCATAAAGTGAAAATGGAACCCTAGAGTCTCAGCCCATACAGTGTATCTGCGCTGCAACACCCCCCTCCCCATCACAGGGGACCCAGGACCTAGGTGTCCTAGCTCCAAGTCCTGCTGGCACAGAAAAGGGAGGCGGGGCCACAGTTTAGGGTGGGTCTGTGATTCCTCTGTGGGAACCCAGGCCGGACAAGGGACAGTCTCTCCCTCTAGATAGAGGTCAGAGGGAGGGACAGCCCGGAAGGGCAAGGGTCCCTGGGGGCATCCACTGAGGCAGCTCCCGCCCTACCCCCACGGCCTCCTCCAAGACCCGACCCGGAACCAACTCCCCACATCCCTCACTCGCCAAAGCCCCCGGATCCCCATTGCCGGGCGGGGATGCATGTCGGCCCCGATCGCAGCCCTCAGAACCTCCGAATGGAGGCCAAGGCTGGAGGGTGCTAGAAAGATGATCGGCCGGGCACGGAGCGGGGAACCCGGAGCCGCGCGCGGGGAGGGGAGGTGGAAGAGGGGGCGCCGGGGGAGCGAGGGGCGTGTGAGGGGTGCGAGCGGGGCCTGGGGGGCGCGCGGTGGGTGTGGGGGGCGCCGGGCTCACCTACCTCTCGTCAGCGCCGCCATTGCCGGTCACATGACTGAGGCTGTTGCTGGGATGACGGTCCGGGCCTTAGCAACAAGGCGGGGGGGAGACCCCGAAAGGTTGGGGGTTGCAGGGGGTGCAGGTTGAGGGAAAGGGAAGGAGGGAGGACAGCACCCTCTTTCCCCTCACAGGTGATAATCACCGTTCCTTTGACCCCCTTCTATCCGCAAGCCCCTGCCCTTCCTCCCCAAAACAAAAATGGAGGCGCTGTTCCAGTCTTTGGAGGGAGGGGGTGGCGTCATGGAACTGAGGGTAGGAGGTTAAATCCCTGGAGACGCCACCCTTCTCGCTCCCCGCTCCCGGCGGAGCACTCTCCCTTTTCTTTCCCAGCCAGCTGCGTAGCAGCTCCGGGGAGCTGGTGGTGGATGGGTGGGTGAAGTGTTGGTGGGTATATGGGGATTCGGGGGGGAGGGCGGCAATTTTTTGAATCCTTATGGTAGAAGGGCCTTTGAGGAACAATGTGGGATGGGAAGAGTCATAGTAAAAAAAAGCATTGGTTTTAAAAAATAAACAAATCCGGGTACTAAACTATTTCAATCCCCTCCCTCATCTGCCTCTTTCTAGATTGTTACCTCCTGTGACCCCCACAACCTGCTCTTGGTCATTGGTAAGTGCCTCTGATTTTTCTCTTTCCACAAACAGGGATATGGAGGCTGGTGCAGAATGGGAAGCGAATACATTTTTTTAAAAATGGCTTGAGGTGGTGGTAGTGTCAAATGTGTATGGTTCAAATAGAGTTAAAAACTCTCAGAAAAAAAAAAAACTCTGCTCTGCTTCCCACATCAAGCAGTCTCTGCCCAGTTCAACTCACTTCCCTGGGGCCACATCAAGCCAGGTTTTTCCACCAGCCAAAAGACCTCCTCAGCCAAGACAGGAATCTCCCAAACTGGCAACAACCTCTATTCATCCACCCCTTTTTCACTCCCCCTCTAGACTGAAGGGCTGGTCACTTTCTTCACTTTCCCAGGACTCTGCTGTACTCTTCCTTCCCTCCAGGAAGAAGACAGCTTTCCCAAGAAGCCTGGGGGAATACTGGATTCCGTTTCTTTTAGCTGGTGGGCTGAGAGGCCTACTCACCTTTACAAAGATGGAGTGTTAGCAAGCCCAGAACTCAGGGAAGAGGAAGGGTCCCATCACCCTACCCTTCCCTGGCCCTCACTACCGCTGACCTCCCACGAAGTTGAAGACTGTTTTCCATTCCTGTGCACACCCTTCACAGCTTTTTAAAAAACGTTCCCAGCCATCTGTCTAGAAACCCACATCCTTAGTTAGGGGCCCAACACCTTGAACACCAGAATTCTTCAGCTGGTCTCTGCACCCTTAAGCACAGGCTTCCTCAGAGAAGTGAAATTAAAAAAATAAAAATAAAATAAAAAAATAAAAATTTCTGTACAGGAATTTGGATTGAATAATTTATTCCCTGTATTATGATAGTAATGGGAGCAAATACACAATTTTTTATTAATAAAACAAAAAAAGATGAAAAACAGAAGCAACAAATGAAGACATCTATACTGCCCATAATACATCAGCCATGCGATCAGAAACCCATTTCTAAAGAACAACGATTGCTGGTGTCAGAGTTTTATTGCATTCATCGGGGGAAAGGGAGATGGTTGGAATGAAAAAGATCCATCAGTCTTCTGACAGGAAGATGTTATAAGGGGGCTCCAACCCCAATGGGTACGCCTCGTTACCACCTTTGGAGCAGAAGATGAAGGGGAGAGAGTGTTTCTCCCTATGGCCTCATGGCTTCTTGTGAGACAGATCAGTCCAGCCAGATACAGAGCAAAGCAGCTTTGCATCACCACAGGCCAGTTGCTGGTGCCCACCTTTATGTTTAAAAAAAAAAAAAGTGGAGGCCTCAAGAGGGATGGAGGATACCAAGAAGAATGGGTGCCTTGGCCCCAGAGGCATTGTAGGGAGGGGAACATAATATATCTCATCAGGATTCTCAACATTATGAGAATATCACACATCAACTCAACTATCTTTGGAGGGGCTGAGTGATTGAGTTATGGCTCTGACTCCTCTCTGGGGGTGGAGAGTGAAGATGACAAAGAAGGCCATCTGTCCCCTAGGAGACACAGTTGCAGTATAAGACAGGACAGAAGAGAACAGAAAAACAAATCCAACTGAAAAAAAGGGGTGGGAGAAGGAAGTGTGCTAGGCACACACATCCAGGGAGTAGGGGAAGTTCCCACACTTGAGGCCTCCATCCTCTTGAAATGACCAGAATTGATCCAAGTAGAGATATTCCTTTCTTCTGGAAATAAACCTTGGGGATGGCTAGGCAGGATGAAAGGAAGTTTAACATGGAGAATGAATCTTACACCCTGGCCCATCATCCCAGCCTCCAAAACTGGCCACACACCCACTGAAGGGTTCCAGTCCCAGGAGAGGTGTGAGGTTCTGGTGAAGAGCAGCAATAGTCAAACACCTTCCCCCAGGCTTGAATGATTTTGGCCATCTCTGGGCTCCTGTGCCCAGATGTAGAGATGAGTGGAGATGGAATTGAGGTGAGGGAAGAGATTACTCAATCTTTGACAGAGACCCAATCCAATTCTCTGCATAATCACAAGAGTTCTCTTAGGTCCCACCTCTGTGAGGTGCCAGGTTGCTGACCCACTCTTTACCCCACCTGGGTAGGACTGGCCATATTCCAACGTGTGTGTGCATGCCTGCACCCACATCTGTAGTATCCTGACTGTCATCCATCCTAGGGCCCACCAGGAGGGAAGCATGCCATAGTGAGTTCTATAAAGTTATCAGCAAAATTCAGACACTTTTAGTTCATCCCACACAGCAACGTGCATCCAGAGTAGTTGCTTGAGCCAGGTCCATCTGTCCAGTCAGGTCCTGAAGATGACAAACAACCCCCTTCCCCTAGCTCCTATATCATAGAAACAACAAGAGATATTACAAAGATCAAGGCACTTGGGAGAGAGTCAACAATGACATTCTAATACTACAAGCAGACTTCTTGTGGGGAGGGAGAGGGAAGAAAAATGGGCAAAGGGGAAAAAGGACAATGTATTTCTGAGGGTCAGAAACAGCCTACTCAACAGGATGGAGTTATCTGGATGGAAGGAGCCTGCAGCCTGAATTTAGCAAAGGAATAAGAGAAGTGGTGGCTAGAATATCCACAATTCCCCCAAGCGTCGCAGAACCCCACCACCTTGAACATCAGAGAGAATCAGGCAGTCTCTTAGGCAAAGATGTTGGTAATAAAATCCAGGAATCGCTTAGCATACTGCTCCGGATGGACAGTAGAGATCTCTGCCCCAGCCTGTGAGAGGAGATATGGAACAATGTGTCAGGCCACCCTAGCACCTGTCCCCATCACCCCCACCCAATCTACCCCAGACCACTTCCATTCTTTTGCCACCCCATTGCTCTGGCACAAGAGGCTCTCTCTTCCCAAAGAATAGTCAAGACAGGAAAGGAAAGGCTTTTGGGAACTCTCACCCCATGCTTGACAGTTTTGGCTGCATGAGCTGCTTTCTTCTTGGCATCATACTGTGTAAGGATATCAATGAGGCCCATGAAATAGACCTCCTTCTGGGGGGCTCCTGGGAGAGAGACCAATGATTCAGAGCAGGTTTAGTTCCAATTCCCTTTCTCCAGGAACCAGTCAGTTTTGTTCTGAAAAGCTCATCAGGCTCTCCCCCACCACTCTGGTCTCTGTCCTTCAGGAACAATCCCCTCTCTACCCTTAAATTGTCCTGGTTCTCTCACCTTCAGCACTCCGGATGGCGTAGACATCAATGAAGGACTCAAACTCTCCTGGGCCCAGGGGCCGATGGGAATGGATGTAGCCTCCGATACCCTCTGGGGAGGTGCCATAGGAGCCCACCAGAGCAGGAGGTCCAGTCAGGCTGCAGTCCCCATCCACCTCTGACTCATCCTCCCGCACAGGCCCTTCCTCCTCTGGTTCAGAGCCCCGAATGATGTCGTGGATGCCCAGCAGAAGGCTGTAGTCCATGATCTTCAGCTGCACTAGAAACTGAGACCCACTGACAAATCAGACACCTCTCTCTCACTCTTCACTGCTAGGTATCACCCCTGTACCTGTACCTTTGAATTTCTGGGGCCCTCCTGGGGAAAGGAAGTGTAAAAATTAAGGTTGCAGGGCATGCCACTGCCCTTTAGTGCCTACATGTCCTGGTATCTAAGATCATTCTTTTAGCTTATTCCAGCCACCCCTTCCATGGGTCAACTCCAGGGGTTTTTCATGTCTCATACTAAACCCCCATACATGCAGAGGACCTGAAGAATAAAGGGAAGGGGTGGAGCTCCCTTATACTGTGAATGAGAGAGACAACTACCCTCTAGGTAGCAGAAAAAGGAAAGCCATTTCCCAGAGCACCCAATCATCACCTCCACATCTCTCTTTAGTTTCTCCAGAAATATTTTCTTCTCTTCTTCACCAATATATACTTTCTGGTTCTTGTTGAGAAAGTCCATATCCTTAAGGGTGGGCAATTCTTTAACCTAAGAATAGGTAAAGGGACATCTTGGGAGCATATCCCTTTCCCAAGGTCTCAAAATCCCACCTTCTGTCTAGGGCTCTATGCTAGCTCAGTTAGATCTCATCTAACTCCACACTGTGATGCTTCCCTGGTTTGTTCTCACCTCCAGTGACTTCCACAGACTCAGTCACTACAGCTGTATCCCCAATCACATCCCACTACTCTTTGCTTATGGTTTTCAGTCAAGACCCTCCAGGCTGACAGACTTTTTTTTTTTTTTTTTTTTTTTTGAGATAGGATCTCGATCACTCTATTGCCCAGGCTGGAATGATAGTGGTGCGATCTCAGCTCACTGTAGCCTCAACCTCCCGGACTCAAGTGATTCTCCCACCTCAG